GGCAGTGGGTGTGCGCCTGGGAGAGGTGACAGTGTCCCCACGATGCGGCACCCCAGGCTGCGCCGAAATCTCGTGTGTACAGCCCAGCAGTTCAGGGTGCTGTCGGTACCCCCTGATTCAAACCCCATTTTCAGCTTCAAAATGTGGAAGAAATCACAGAAATCCCCCCACTGGTTGCCCAGGATCTGGTGAAAGGGAGGAGCCGTTGGCTGGGTGGACGGTAGGGATGTCCTTGCCAAGCCAGCACGCCACTGCCGGTGACACCCAGGACAGCTGCACACAGAGACTCGTACTGCGTTTGAGGTGCCCTAAGGTATGGCAGATGTACTGCGTGGAGGCTTCATCTGTCTGTGGCTTTCTAGCCGGTTAATGCAGAAACACGCTTAAAAAAAGGCTGTGGTTAAGCTGTTGCAAAGCACAGCATTGATTATATCCTTTAACTGGCCTCAGGAAACCTCCTGGTCACCTCTGTACAGGTCCTCTGCTGCACTGCCTAGGCTGAGGCTTCAAGTCACATACCTGGATCTTAGGGGCATCCACTTTGTGTTAGAAATTCAGATGCCGTTAAGAAAATAAAAAGGCCTGTGGATCTGAGTGTACCATCAAACTGCCAAGGTGTGGCAGCTTCCTGCTTGAGCAAGCATTCGTAATTGCGGATGGTTTGTTATTAAGATATTTCAAATGGAGTAGAGAGTTACGATCAAGTGGAGTATAATACAGCTTCCTGAGTTTTGAAACAAACCCTGCTGTCTTGGACTGCTTCACTGATACGGTCTCAAAGCAGGTGCTCCACGCCAGCAGGCTCTCTGCTTCAGTTTTTTTTTGCTTTGTGGTTACACAGATCCAGCTCATCACCAACCCCGTCTGCTTTTTGAAGCTCTTCTGCGATAGGATGTGGACTGTTACCACTTTTCTCCCCCAAGTCCTTTATCCTTAGTAGAGCAATCTGTTTTCTCTCCTTTCTCTACGGTTTGGCAGAGGTTTGCACTGTGTGAGAGTCCAGCTCTGCTGAGTCCCTGTTTGCTGCAAGGCCTGACGGGCAATTCTCCATCAGGTTTCTGCTTGGCTTACCTTGCTGGGGGGAGCCTGTTGCTAGCCCACCTTCCTGGGCTAGCGCAGCTTGGCTGCAGGGCTCTGCCTCATCAGCTATTCTTTACCTGCTCCTTGGTCAAGGGGAAGGTCCCTATCAAGGTTTGCAGAAACCCTCTCCTATGTTGCCTCTTCTCTGTATTTTGGTTGGGTAACAGACTGTATCTCTATAAAAAGAACTTCTATGTCCCTTTTCAAACCTCTTCTTTGGTGCTTGCTTACAACTGGGTGGCTACGGAAAAGTATTTTGTGTTGTCACGTGGGATAAGACATCAGGGGGTAGATGATCTGAGATAGCTGCTGTTGATCTACCTGTTCGTTTTTGTTATCTGTGTTACCTCTTATCTGAGGCTAAATTGACACCTCCCAGAAGACCATAGGCGGGGGTGATGTTCTCGTTCCAGCTGGGGCTGTTGTGTCTATTTAAAGTCCTGTTTTAGGAACTTAGTGTATGAGGACTTGCATTCAATAGGATGGTTTTGGATGTGTGTTGAAACTTGCTTTAGGCAAGGCTGTTAAATTGTGTTCTGGATAGCCCTCTTTGCCCAAGGAGGATGCCTGCAATGTTGTTGAACGATAATGCCCAGATAACACCATACACTGAGCCTAGAGATGAGATCATTCATCAATTGATTTCACTGATCCTTTGATATCCTACTCACTATATACTTTTTCTAAAATACATTCCTAGTTACGCAGAATATTTCTCTGCTACATGTTATTATGTTCTTATTAGTTCAAACTAGCACATTTAAATATACATATACACATCTGTTTACACATGGAAGTACAGCCTGTATTTATACTTCAGCAGTCCTCCCCTGACAGATTGCTTGTGTCTTTAGTTTATGTGCATTTTCGTGTTTACTCCCTGTTTTGGCTTTTTGTCCCCAACCTTTCCTCTTGGCTAAGTAGGGCCGATTTCTGTAATTTTGCTACCTTGTTCCCGAAGTACTCAGAAGGGCTGTTTTGTTCTTAGAACTGCCTTCAAGCTGACCTAATTCTTGCCGAAAGATAAATTTTAGCACTCTTGCTGTTTTTTTTTAAGTGTTTGGACTCAGGATTTTGCAATTGGCTTAAGTCCCTGACAGGGGCATTCCTCCATGTTCCTCTTGGCTGCCTGTTCCCAACTCTTTCAGTGGCTATAGCGATCGCACAGTCAATGGTAATGGCTTGTTTGCTTTTCATGAGGTGAAGAGTCAGTCAGATCAGTGTCCTCACAGCCAGCGACTAGAGCCAGCGCAAGGGAACCGGCAGGACCCGTGTTGCAGAGGCAGGCACTGTTTTAGACAAGTTGGAGTCAGCTGCAGCCTAATCCCCAAATTCCCCGAAACGGTACCAGGAGGTAAGCAGGCGCTGCGTGTGCTTAGCTCGGCTACGCCGAGTCTGGGGGCCCAGCAGCTAGTTCAAAGCGTAATGCACAACGTTATTTAGTGCGTTATGTTGCCGACCTGAAGTCACCTATATGCCTATACTCTTTGTAGGGTGCCTGCCTGTCCAGTAATCCGTATCAAGCCCTTCGTGTAAGGGACTTGCAGAGTTTGTCTGAGTGATGCAATGCTTTGGGGGTTATAGGATGGTAGATTTGGGCCAAGCTCATGTCTCAGGAGGCAGGAGCACGTGTGAGCTTAAGCTTTTTTGTCTGCTGTACCCTGAGGTGAGTCAAAGCCTCCAAGTGAGTGGTTTGGGCAAGTGTGCATGGGGGACGGTGTCCAGGACAAACCCCATGTGTCTGAGATCACGGGAGGAGTGGGGCAGGTTGTGAGTGAGCCTGTTTGCTGCACTGCGTACGGGACCTGGCATAGCAAGAGTCCAGGCTGGTTGCAGACTATGTGTTACCCAAGGTGATCAATACTAGCGTTTTTAGCTGTTATCCCTTTGATTTATACTGTAAGCAAGTTGCATGGATTGATGTTTACCCTTTCCAGAAAGTAAATATGTCTGAAGGAAGTATGAACCGTTCTCCTATTTCTGCATGGACCATTAGCGTTCTGTCAGCTTTTCCATTGTAGCTCCAGAGTGCTTCCCCAATCTCTTGTGCTTGAATTCTGCCTCTGAAAAACATGTTAACTGGGTTCGTTTGTTTGGGGTGTTCTTTTTTTATTTTTGCTTCCTGCTAGCCAGCAGTTCCACAGCAGTAAGTGAATGGGACACAGTAGGTTCACTCTGTACCTTTCAGCAGAGGAGACAGTCTGAGAGATTTATTTGTTTTCAGCCTCTTCCGCTCCAGGACCATTTTCTTCTTCCCAAAACTTCAGGTTTTTATTTGTTGTTAAATCTGCTCCTCATTTCTCCAGCAACCGTCTTGCTTGAACCGTAAGTGCTGTGTTTAATATAGCCATAGCACTGTAATAGCTGTCTGCGCTTGCCAGGCGTAAGAAGGGGTTTCTGCAAAGATAACCACTTGGCGTAAGTAGAAGAGAACATGTACCAATAATGCAGATGTTGTGGTTTGTTTATGCGGTAGGATGATCCGCATACATGTGCTGTTCTACCACCAACTGTAGAAATGACTGCTGGCCCCTTCTGCTAGATTTTTCTCCTTACCCAGCTGCTTTGCTTTGTAGTCCTTGGGGTGTACAAGTCTCAGGAGGCTGCATTTTGTGCCTGAGTGTCCTTAATTTAATGTTTAGGGGCAACTGTTCTTCCCTGGCTTTGCTTGCTGCAGCAACTTGACAGAAGAGCATGACTTTTTGTAAATTGTTTATGGATCTTCTCCCTCCCTATATTAAAAAAAAAAACAAAAAACCAACCCTATTAAACATGCTAGGAGCTGTAGGAAGAGGACTTTGTTATCTCTCAGAAGTGGCCTGATGCTGTAAGTGGGGCTGTCTGGAGAGATGGAGTCAGTTCTCTGGTGAGCAATTTGATGGTCTGAGATGTGTTGGTGTATATGTTACCCACTTTCCTGAAGAAATTCAGACTCTGATGTTTGATGGGATCACTGGAGAAAGGAACAAGGACAGCTAAAACCAACACAAAGCTGGTGAACAAGAACTCAGTTAGTGGAACTGTACCCAAGGATATGGCCCTTGAGCCAGAGAAACCTGCTGTGCAGCCTGGAAATGTGAAAACTGGTTGTGTCAGGAGATTGTGCTTCCAGGGATTAATTACTGCTTTTTAATTACTGCTTTTCCCCTACAACTCCTTCTTGCTAATCTTTTGTATTTAGGTTTGCACTGATGGTTAATCAAACTTCAGAGCAGGTGACTCCACAGAGCAGCAGGTGATTTCCATCTGGCAGGTATGGCTGGCTTTGCACTGGCCAAGCTGAAAAGTGCACTGTCAACTATTTATCTTGGCAGTAGGTAGCCTTTTTGGTTTTGTGTGACAGCTTGAAAATGAAGTCCCTTTCTCTAATAGCCCTTGTCACTGTCTAGGAAAGCAGCAGGCAGGATGTGTCTAGTTTGTACCTCCTCTCCCTCTGCCCCAGCCCTATGTTCAGTAGCAAAGCTGAGCTCAGGGGACAGGTGATATTTTAAGAGTTGGCAGCCAGGACTCGCTCTCTTTCATGGTTGCTTATCTTTTCCAACTCTTCAGATACATTTATTTTTCAGTAATTTCAATAGAATAATTGTGAATAAAGCAAAGGACAATTTTACAGTTTTAGTAATAGCTTAAATGAGGCTACGCTGTCACTGTAGAACCACTGTGGCTTTCACCAAAAACCACCTCCCTCTGAAATGATACATGGCTCAAACTGGATGTTGCTTCTTAATTCGTGTTAGCAGCTGGAGAAACACTGCAGATTCTACAGGTTCCTCTCCTCTGTTGCAGACTGTTTCCTTAGTCTGTTGTTATATTAATTACTGACCATATCTACAATGCCAAATTCCTACAATGCCAGAATTACAATGCCAGAATTCTTACCAATCTTCCCTTAAGAGCGCCCTGGTGGGAGGCATGTATGAACCTGAACACATCCCAGGTGCAGGGGGGCCCTTGCTGGGTTTTGGAGCGTTACTCTCCTACTTGCTATGGAACAGTGACGCTAGTGCACGTTTATTTAAATGATAATTGTGATATTAATAAAAGCTCAAAGGAAAAACTGAGATGTGAAATTTTTGTTGTGGGGTTTTTTTTTTGTCCTTCAGTGCTGTCAAACTTGTCAAGGAATACATCAGACAAAGGAAAGTTAAAAGTGAAGTGGTTTTGTTTAAAATGGTCACGAACAGTTAAAGTAAGCTCTCTCCAGCAAGCGGTGGTAACAGAACAATCCCTTAA